AAGAAGATCAAAAAGCACTCATATACGAAACGCTGCAAGAGTTTTGCCTGGGTGYTCTTGGCGATTTCTTCACAAGAGAAGCGGTGAATTATGCAGAACTGATAGGGTTTACTGCCATGGTAAGTACATGCATCTCACGCATCTAAGAAGTTTGGGTCTTATTTTGCACCAATAACAACATCTAAKTGACCCAAAAAATGACAGTAGCCAATCAGCGTGAAGCTAATTTTCTCAAATTGTTAGCATTACCCCGACGGGATACAAATTGTTTGCAAAAACAAGACAGGCTTACCAGGATAGTGTAAAAGACGTTTTTCGATAATCCGGCAATGAAATTGCAGTGAAATATTAGTATTATTCTATAATTTTTACTTCTGAGACTAAAATATTAGGGATAAAAGTCTCAATTTGTACAAATTTCGACACTTAAAACGGATTGACAAAAGCATACTACGACCCATCTAGCCGACTGCTAACTTGAAGTCTCCTGAGACTTGTTGTTGATACAAGACCTTTCGCGGTAATCATTACAGTTTTCACCCACTTTGGGCAGAAATATACCTCAAAACAGTATCAAAACCTCTAAAACTAATTTTCATATCTTATTAGTGTGAAGTGTTCTTTAAAAGACCTTCTTTCTCAGTAGCAAAATATTTCTTAAAACGCAGCTGATGGTGTTTCGAAATTCTATGTATATATTTTTGCGCGTCATTGTGCTAATAGTAATGGGCTAAATGCTAACAAGTTTTGAGCTAAGTCATGCTGGTGTGGTCGCAAAAAGGTCACTTAGATCGAAATTGAAGGACAATTAATTAAAAATTTACATAAAAGTGCTTTCAAAAATACATTATCCATTCTCAAACGTCTGGATTTGGTTAGAGTGCGGATCCTCCAATCGGGACAACTTTCACAAAGTTACCCAATTAACCAAATTACGATATTTGTGCAATAAATGTTTTCTTATATCAATCAATATATTTTATGACTTGCTAAGTAATCATGTTTGGAGTATCTGCACTGTAAAACTACGTCCTGAGGCAATGAA